TTTTTAACAGATTCCCTAAAGACAGAATTGTCATTCTGGGCCTCATTCTCTGCACATTACAGATAAATTTACTTTTGAGCATTTTATAGGATATTTTTGCATCCTTTTTATGCATTCATTTGGAAAAGTCTACAAAGAGCATGTGCTGGAGGGGACTTTTAATCAGTTACTGATTTTGAAGATGCACTTCTGGAAAGACCTCTTCCAGTTCCAGAAGCTGAGCTGATTTTACTCAGTAACAGCACTTTTGCTTTCTGTTCCTGGAATTTACTTGAAAGTAAAAAAATAAAATCTGTCAACACAAGGTTGTGTACTTAACTGAGGAGAAAGAAGCAGAAAAAAAATTCTCTTAACAGGTCCAAAGTTTCTTTTTTGTCCAGAAAGGTGTTGACATAAAACACGGCAATTAAAGTTTTAACCAACACAACAGATTCATCAAGTAGGATCTTGAGGGAAGTTCTTTAAATTTCAAGAATCCTAGAATCTCCTAAGGTAAAATGAGAGGAGTAATATAAAATGTAGTTATTTGTTTATACACACCTCTATAGTGTACAAATACGTTCACCTTCAAAAATCTTCAACCTAATTCTTTGCTGGCCACATTCTACAAATGAAGAAATTAAGGCTGAGTGAAACAGAGAGTGTGCAGGCTGGAAGGACCATCTGTGGACTTCCTGACATTATCCTGATGTTGTATGTGTTTGTAACTCCTTGACTGTGTTTTGACATTTGAGCTGGTATATCAGTTGAATCCATCAGCAGAAAGGAAAACAGACACAGCCTAAATTAAAAAAAAAAAAAGAATGTGGTGAAACATTTATTTACTTTTCCCATGAAGTCCGTATCAGATCTCAGAGTCCACCTCAGTCAGACATCAGTCCCCTTTCTCTCTTGGCTCCTCTTCTACCACCTGTCCACCCTCTCTCTACCCTTTCTCCCCAGTCTCTTCCTGTCCTCTGTTTCCCATTAGGTTCCCTCTATCTTGATGGGCAATAAAGGATTATTCAGGTCCCATCTATCTTTGGAGAAAACTTGGGGGCATTCTGAGTCTTCAGAATAAAACTCTACCAAACAAACCTTTCTTAGAATGCTGACTGGTTCTCAAAGCTCAAAGGCTAACTTTGAACTGATTGTTTCTGTTGGTATGGCCAACTAGACACACCCCAAATAATCTTTTAGCTAAAATAAACCTAAAAATATGTTATATAGTAAACACATGCACACACCTTAAAAGCAACTCCAAGAAGGCAAAATGTAAAGAATTTTCAGGATGCTTGTAGGCACACACGTAATCTATTCTCGCTACTAGTAAACTTGGGGTAGGGGGAGGGACACCCAAGGAGGGGAATCTAATAGGAGGCGTTCACATAACCACTGCATTTGAAGTCTAATGAGAGAGCTAGGAAGGTGGCCTGTCTACCTCGGTGCCAGGTAGAGAGAAAAAAAATTTCCCCTAAGAAGTCATAACCACAAGCCAGTATTCATAACATTGTGCCCCAAATTTATACTTCTTATAAAGAAAAAAATCTAGAGCTAAAAATTTAGTTTAAAGTGGTCCCAGTTTGGTACTGCCCCATGGCACCTGGCAGAAGCAAATGTAAATACTTTTAACCTCAAACACTCTTAAGCATGCGTCTTGAAATTTCTAAAGTTTAATGAAAAAATAATAGGGTAGCAAGTGTGTATAAATCCCAAAATGCTGGAGGGGGAGAAATGAGATGGGAAAACTCCAATCAAAACAAAACCCAAGCAAAGATTATACAGAAATAACACGGATGTCTGTGGGTGATAATGTATTAATGCAAGGCAAGAATTTGAATATTTGGTATAAATGGTTATGCAATACATTTTTTTTCCTGGCATGGTAATTAGATCCATTTATAAGAAAACCATTACTGATAACCAAAAAGTGCTCACTTATAGGAGAAGAGTATTTCCTGTCATCCTTGCTCAAATCTTTTGAAGACAAGTAAATTTCTAGGATCATTTTCTGAGGTTGGGCAAACAGCAAACATAGAGGCATCTCCTAAGTATTGAATCATTTGTTCTACACACTTTAAAAAAGAACAAGCCAATTGTATGCATACCCATTATGCTGGCATCGCCTGAACATCCATGGCTGCTGTTTCCTAAGACTGCCACTTCGACTATAAAAGGCATCCTCCACAAGCAGTTTGAGTGAGGGTTGTACTCTGTAATGATTTCCTTCATAAATCATCAGTCGGGAATTCCCACGGACTCCTCTGTGGAATTGTGGCTTCCCAGTCTTAAAATAGACACAAGTCTAGCTACTTGTCTCATAAATATAATGCAGAAAATTATTAGCTTACTTAGGCATCTTGAAAACCAATACTAATGATAATGGTCTGAAAGCTTATAACATTAAAAGGTTAATATCAATAAGCCCTTTTTAACCTTGATTAGGTGTTTGATGTAAAAACCAACTGGAAATAAAATCAAGAATCAAGTAATGTTTCTCTCCTCCCCCACCCCTATGGTTTCTTATTCCATGCAAAATAAGAGCCACTAGAATTATTTTTCAGAAAACTTGCCACCAGGGGGCAGTTTGCTTATAATTAAAAAGATTCCACTGTCTTAAAATTTGAGAATCTGGTAACAGTATATAGAAAATAGATGAAGACTTTATAAACCTGTTTCAAGGTTATTTGTACATTTTAATGTCAAAGCATTAGAAGATACTGATATTATTTCAAGCATATTAGTACTGTATTAATATGTATATAGTTTCCGCCTCCACAACCCTTTTTAGAGCAAGTACAATGAGCATAACAAGCAGTTGTAATAAGCCTTACATAGCCTTTGACTTTACCACAATATTAAAAGGCAAAGAAAAAATACCTTCTGGTAGGTTTTAATTATTAGGGTAAATGTTTAATTACTACTCACTTTGAAAAATATCTTCTTCCCAGAAATATAACCATAACTAAAATTATAAAAGGCCCCAAATTATTTATCTGAAAGTAGTTCCAATATTTTTATAAGTGTTCTTTTATTTTGAAATTGAGGACTGTCCTCAGAAAAGGAAAATATAAAGTTCACATAATCAAAGTAAGCCCAATAGTACAGTTAAGTCCAAAAAGGAAGTTTAGCTTTTAGATAAAGGGGCAAAGTGTGATTTCTAAGCATTTCAAAAGATGAACTATATGCTTTGGATGTTACTAAATTGAACTACAAAACATGAACCTGATAATTCAGTGTCAAGGACCATTATTCCAGATTGGAGAAACCTATTTATACAACTGTATCATTTGTAAATTAAAACAAGACATAGCCACATTATTCTGGATCACTGCCAAATTTCACCTCTGTCTTCAGGGATTTTGGTTTGTCACTTAAGTGAAATGGCCTAGTACTCTTGGAACTCTAGGTAATAGTGGTTGTAGAGTTCCAAATTTGAAGAATTTAATTTAAAAAATACTACAAACTACTGGGTGTTTTTTAACGAATATACGTTTAAAAGTAAAACTGGGAATACATTGACCTAAGTCTCATTATCTGTAAATATTTGCAAAGCAATTTAGTGAAAACAGTGGTTCTAATGTCCAATCTCTTAATTTAGTGTCAGCCCCAAATTACTCATCCCCTTCTTTTGCTAACAGCACTCCCTTCCTTTGAACAACCTGCCCCAACCATCTGGTGTGACCGCCCAAGTCCCACATTTCCATGGTTTCAAGGAAAACTCATTAGATACACTTTTCCCTTTAGTGGAGAAGATGGGGGGAGGGGGGCAAAATCTCCCTTTCTACCATTTTGCCAAGAGGATGGTGGTCTCCAGCCTTCTGTGAGAGCAGAAATAGGAGAAAAGTCTTCCTTCCACTGAAAAATACTAGAATTTCCCCCTCTTCATTTTATGCTTGTTATAAAATTGTGCACCCCTTTTTCTTATCAGGGGACCATTCTTAATCACTTCTAGTCATCTGGCCTAAGAGTTGTTATTTTTTAAATATTAATCTCAAAGAAGATTCGTATCTGAGACACATAATGAAAATTTTACTAGGCCATGCAAAATAATGTGAAACTACTCAACCCAGAAGGGAAAGTGAACACAGGTGAGGGTAAGGCAGGGTTGGAGGATGGTAAGGCTGGGTGATGACAGGAAGTTTTCATTATACCATTCTATTTTTATGTATGTTCAAAACTCACCATGATAAATTTTAAGAAGCACTTTGTTGACAAATCACCTGCTCAGACTGACAACTGCCAAGGATCTCAGCTGACCACTTCTTTGAGGAGTCTCTCTGTTCGGCTAGCCGTGAGGAATGAGATGACCCTTCCCTTCCCCAAGTACAGAATTTTTATAAAACAACATGTATTTCCATACACTAAACAGCACATGAATCAACAATGTATTAAGTCGCTAAGACTCTACACCGTTAAATCTTTGGGAAATCCACTTTATTATCTTTTTTTCTCATGTGGATAACTCATCTACTAATTCAATGTTTACTCAATTGTCAGAATTGTCTTTATACAGCTGATTTTCCATAATGCCTCTCAGATTATAATCTCTAAATGGACAAGGATTTGCTGAACTTGCTTGTGCTGTGTTTGGCTGAGCACCAATTGTTAAAAATTGCCCCAGAAAATAAATATCTGCCAACTCTACACAGCTGGAAGGAAAATATATTCCTCTGTGTTGTCCTGTGTTGACTGACTTCTTTGGGTATACTGTATGTTGTGAATCATTTGAGGGTTATAAGTGACTCATACACTAGAGGCTATAAATCTCACTAAGCGAAAAAGGACACTAGGAAGCAGGCGAGCAGTTGAGATCTACTCTTTTCTTCAGTTTCACCTTAGACCAATATTTTTTTCCTGTTTCGTATTAGATCACTAAATTATACCATTTTCTATTGCTTGTGATGAACTGAGGACAAGAGAAGTGTTCAAAATCCCCTTAACAATAAGGCAATGAAGTGCAATGGAAAGCTGAATTCTAACTGTCAATGTTTTCTGCAACATAACATTTTCAAATCTGCTTAAATCCAGAGAGGTTTTTATTACACAATTTGATTTTTACATCAATAAAATCTTAGCTATAACAATACAGATGAAAGAACAACAATTTAATTTGTACCGAAATAAATATTAGATATACAAAGCACATACAGTGAAAGAGGGGCACAATAAATTACAAGTGGAGACATTATTTTGGTCAATTACCAAAGAAAGCCCTTGACACGTCCAATTTCACACCATCAGATTTATCATTCTTGCTGATTTAAGCAGAACACAAAACAAATATGGATCCCAGGGCTTACTTTCACAGGTACCAGCACAGATAATTTACTACAGTGATCCAATTTGGAAATCAGGAGGGACCAGTAAATCGCTGCATAAAAGAAAGAGCAAATGAGGTCCTTTTTCCTTAGTGTCAGCAGGCTATGATTATTATGTTTATTAGATTTTCTTGAAAGGACTTCACATTTTCTCAAATATTGAGGAGAAATATATTTCCCCTCTGAGCCTTACATTAGCATTTATGTGCTTTGGTCTTGAATACAGGGGAATGATGAATTTTTCAATTTATTTTATAAATTTATACAGTCTGGATGATATTGGCCTGAAGAGTATAACTCCCCAACCTGTACAATATTAGATATTAAAAATGGATTCAAGAGAAGTTACTAAGAAATGCTGACATACTGTATATACAAATTTTTTAGTTCAATATATCCCATTATATAGAGCACCAGAATAATGCATTTATAAATCAAGCAGTTTTTTTTATGACTCTAATCCTTGCGACCCTTGTACACTTGTTCCACTATAACACATCACAAATGTCACCTGCCCAAGACTTCGCCCATTTGGTCTCAACTGATGTAAGCAAAAATGTATGTCAAATACAGTTTTTTATTTTAAGGTAAAAAAAAAAGTCAAAGTTTGGAATTAAACGGTCATGAACCAAGAGGGAAGAAAAAAGGTTTAAGAAGACTGAGCACATCAAAAAAGTAGCTTCAGAAGGCTAGGAAGGAAAAAGTGAAATGATTTTGGGGCCTTTTTCTCCTGGAATACAGCCTAAATTTTAGAGTCCAGCAAAGATATCCATCAATAATATTTTACTATCACTTTCTAAGAAAAAGAATCTGCATTAGATTTTTTAAAATACTGTACTTTATGCTCCTCTCACATCAACTGAAAGTCAAGGCAGGTCAGTCTTCCTTTTGCTCTGCACAAAAGGAGAAAGGCTGTCCTAGAGTTGGTCTCTCACGCAGGAACGTGTTCCTTTTAAGAGCTCACTTGGATGTCACCTTGGAAGATAAACATGTCCTAGAATAATTACTACTACCAGGAAGCCTCCCTCAATTTTTTATTGAAGTTATTGGGGTGACACTGGTTAATAAAATTCTGTAAGTTTCAGGTGTAGAATTCTACAATACATCATCTGTATATTTTATTTGCATGCTCACAACTCCAAGTCACCTCCCCAAATTTTAGTTATTCCTTTCTTAATCCCAGATCCCGTAACAACTTTCTGCCCAGAATATTGTAAGAGGACTGCTCATTAAAACAACCCCTGGAAATAACTCCCGAGTATATAAGCATATGCTTTGGATATACTCTCTGTTGAGCTACACTATCATAAAGCCTCTGCAGAATTCTAATCCTAGAGAAACTCCGATGAGGTATTAAGAGAAACTAGTTGTCTCTGCAACTCAAACTGAATTTACAAATCTAGGTACCATTCCTAATATCCGAAAATTTCAATATGCATTTTTATTTCTATAAAAGTTTAAATTTTAAGAGGTCAAACTGCTTACACCCTCTAGTACCTACAAAATGACCATGAAAAAAATTTTAAGTACCATTTTTCTACACACCTGAAAAAAGAACAATTTTATAATTGATTTTGTTTGGGTGATGTAGAAACATACAATAAGAAGAAGAAAAAGAGATGATGATCTTAATAATGCCTTTCACAATTGTGGCCTATTTTACTGTTTACCTAGAAAGCTGATATTAACGGGATACATTTTCCAGCTTTTGAGCATTTCAGTATTTTAAATATGTACTCAAAATAAATGCTTGCCAAATACTTGCTGAATATTGAGTAATTACATATTTTAAAAGGTCATGGAATTAAGATCCTTAGTTTTATGGCTGACTCAGCTCTTTTAGTGGCTTTTAACCTTCCCACATGGCAGGTGAAACTGGGGGGGCCACTTGAGGAAAGAGTGCCACCTACTGATCACAAACATACCTACCTGTCTGTGGTTCCTTTCTCCCCTGAGGTTTTTGTGACAGAATAGGTAGCAAAATTAGTTGAGATCTGGGTAACAGCTTTGAGGCTAGCAGATCCTAAGGGGGTTTGGGCAGGGAAGAAGCTTTAGAATAATTATATTAATCAAATTAAATTCCTTAGCATTAGATAAGTATCTTGATCACAGTCCCTCAAAATTAATTTTACTCATTCTGATCTCACACTCTCAAAAAACTACGTTAGTTCTACTTGTCTTATTACATATATAATCATTTTCTTTCCCAGGATGAATAATACTTATGTCCTAAGCCTACAAACCTAATCTGAATGTGTGATCCTGACTTTTAGGAAGAAAGGAAGTATTCTGATAGCACTGTATTTTAGTTCTACAATAGATCTCATAAATCTTTTGTAACTTCTGGTTTAATAGTAACATGCCTTGATTTTCCCTGTAAGGGAGATACCTAAATATCTTTAAAAAGGCAAGCTTTCATTCTTGCTTACTTCCAGGACCATCTATCTACCTTGGCAAATTTTATCCCAAGTAAATTTACTAGTAAGTACAAACTGTTATTTAAGAAATTTCTTTTTGGAATGATGTTAAAGTTTAAATTCATGAGGAATCAAGTACAGAAATGGAATATACACTCGCTACTAGATAAAGGAAGTTTTGTATGAGGCTTCCCCTGTCCAAGAAAGTGTAATATCTAAAAATGGTAGAAGAACTGCCATTTGCTGAAGGATTAGATATTCTGGATGTTAGTCATTTTTTAAATCTGTTTAAAGAAGTCCAGCTATGCTGCTAATTTTTTCCTACTACATTCATTCTATATACTGCTATTGTATTTCCTTAATTTTAACTGATAGGTATACAAGCTACACTAGAATTTGGGATGCCGTATCAGCTGGTTGTACGTAATCATATCACAGAGTCTGTGACTACAAATTCATGCAAACTAAACATCTAATAATGTTCAAATTGTAAAATGTACTTTTCCATGAGTGTAGGAATATTTCATTTATAAATCAAGCCTTCCTTTAAAGAACAGTCTAACATGAGCATGTCCGGAATATAATCCTGTTTTTGATAAAAAAGCTTGACTTTTAAAGCACAGTGTTTTAAATTGTGAAAATCCAAATGTTAAAGCCAACATGAATTCTTTTCCTTATGAATTTTTTTTAGCCAACAGTAATTTTCAAAGTAAAAGAGAAAAACTCAAAATACAAGCACATTTACAGGTCATTAAAAGTAAATAATAAATAATCACAGTAAAACAGAGCACACAAAAAGAATATTAACAAGTGTAAAAACCAGTGAAATCTGAATAGGTCTGTACTTTAGTTAGCAATATTGTTTCAGGATTAATTTCTTAGTCACTTCTATAAATCTAAAATTATCTCAAGATTTAAAAATTTGTAAAAACAAAAACAAAAAAAACCTAGTAACTTAAAAATGTCCCTTCACTGCCAAAATTTCAATATAATTCAAGGCTTAAATTTTAAAAAATATCTTTAGATATCAATAATATACTGTTTACTTAACATTATAGCCACTTATTACTCTAGAAAATTTAGTTCTTAAAACATCAGATTACATATATAGTGACAATGAGGCTAGACATACACACACACACACACACACACACACACACACACAATCAACTATTATGAGGCTGCTTCTCTAAGTTAGTAGAAAAATGTTACAAAAAGAGCTGGTTATGGTTGAGCTATCAAGTAGATATCACATTTCTACAGAATGAAAGTTGAACAAAAAGAAAACTGATCTTACTAATAAGTTACCAATGAATGTATTTGAGAAATCCAAATTACATGCAGAAAGAAGAGAACTGGTTACAAAAACCATTCCATTACTCTGTACTAGAATTTTTACAATGTTTTAAACATTTCTAATCATGCAACAATAAAGGTCAAAATAAACTTTTTAGAGCTGATAGCTCAGTAAACAGGATTTAACATATTATACAACCCAACTCACAGCTGCATAATACATCTAGTTCCCCCAAATTTGTCCATCATGAAATATGAAATGTATACTCTTTCCCCCAAACTCCTCTTCAGGGACCATTCCCAATTACCTTAGCTATAAACCTTCCCATTTAACCTTTAAATCAGATTTGATGGGTAAAGAATGTACAGGATAATCTTCATTATTATTTCAGAAGAGATACTAAGTATAGTCATATAACCAATCTTCAGTTACATCCCTTTCAAAGGTACCTGAACTGCTACAACTCTTATGAAAAGTCAAGCATAAGAAACTGAGAAAAACGGTAGTCAAGAATTTGATCTAGGTAATTCTATGAACTATAGTAACACTAATAACCTATGTGTCCACATTATAAAAGAACGGTTTCTTAAAGCTGTATGACTACTGCTTTCTGATATAAATGGTTAGGGGACCCCAAATATTTACCTCATTGGCTAATAAGCTTACAGTTGAGCCTTTAAAAGAAAAATTCAAATCTACAGAAGAATTAATGGAAATAAAATTTTGAACTCCTCTTATAACAGCACATCCAAAATTAATCTATGCTAACAAAGCAGCACAAAATCAATTTAATAACAATTTGAAATCAAATACAGTGGAAAATGTGGCTTAATCAACCAAAATTCATAAATGGCAAAATACTGTCTCAAAATATACTGAATTCACATATGTAAATGTTACCATAAAGAATTAATGGCAGATATAAATAAATTCAGGTTACCAATTAGGCAGAAACAAATTTTAGAGCTATTGTTACAAGAGAAATAAACATACATGATAAAGGCACAGCAGCATCTAAAAAAAATTTGATACAATACAAACTTCCTCAACCATTAACAACACAACACAGTAGAATTTTCTTAGAAACTTTTTTTATAAAGGCTTGATTTAACATGCCAGGAAAATGTTATTGTTCCATTAAGATGAATTTATGTAAATTGGAGTGAGGTCAGTTTCACACCTGGAATTAACAATCCCTAGCAGAAGCATCAGCTGCTACTAATGCTTATTTATATTTAACTTAGCTGGATATTACGCTACGCAACTGTTGGTGCCAATCTGCTTATAAAGGCGATGCTCTGGAGACAAAGTCTTCTCACAAACAGTGGGCAAGCAGGTTTCATTATTATATGTTCGACAATAATCCTCAATTCATTAAACAAGGTCCTGCAAGATAAAATTGTTTTCTTTCACAAACACAAGAAAAAAAAAAGCAACATAATACAAAGCAAATGCTGATGAAGAGATTTCCCACAGCCATTAAAGAGTCTGAAGAAGTAAAAAAATAACTAGAATGAACTGCCAACAGTTTTCCCCGGAAAACACAAAATAAAATTCTTACATCAACGCCTATCTTTTTGGGGAGAAAAGTTCATTTAAACAAAAGCATTCAATAAATGGCTACCTCTGAGGGCTGAGGTTAGGGATGATTTATAGCTTTACAGTAGAATCACGTCATTGTCACATTTAACTTAGGCAAATTCAACTAGTTCTACAAAAGAGGGCAAGGCAGTGAAAGTTACATAACGTGGGTAATCCCACGTACTATTTCCTTAAATGAACATACTGCCTCTTACAGCTTTCATTTATAAAACAGGAATATGTACCTCACAGAGTCAAGCGAGGTTTCAGTGAGAGAACACAGAACATGCTCAGTGGATGTTACTGCCCACCTGGATCATTCCACTGAGCAAACAGTAACTTGCTTGCCTTCAGACTAAAGCCCCCAGAACCTGGCTCCCATCAGATTTCTGCTTCTCCCTGTCACTCTCTGCCATGACCCTCCACGTTTCAGTCATGTCGCATGCTTGCAGACTCTGACTTTGCCTTAACTGTGCTCGTTGCCTACAAAGTACTCTTTACTACATACTGTAAATGTTACACGTAAATTGTATAAGCTAGCAGACATAATACCATGTGTACCATAATTTATAAGTGATTTGAAGGATCAAAAAAGTTAATTTTTGACTATTCACAACTCCTGCTCTATCTTTCTATATTCTCCGTGTTATTTTTATGGTTAGGAAAAAGTAATAATCTGCTGTTTCAAAAAAAAAAATAAAGAATGTAAGATGCTCTCACACAAAGACAGGAAGAAAATTTAGAAATATTCATATTTATCCCAAAGCCTGCCCTTCTTGCACCTTCTCTCTTTGTGACAACCCTATTATTGCTCACAACTCTTCCGTTCCCAGGCTTGAAACCTGGAGGTCATCTTTGTCTCATTCTCTTTCCCCCAGACCCTGAGTTCCTGCCCGCCTAAATCTCTCTCACACTGACCACCTCCTCCTCTACCAGTGAGTGAGTTCAGGCTCTGGACAACTCTAACAGTCTCCACTGGTCTACCTTTTCCTCCTCTTGGTGAGCCTGTAATCCATCATTTGGAATGATGTCTAAATCAGACTTCATCACATTCTTAACCCCTCCACATTTGAAACTTCCAATGTTCTTCCTACTTTGAAGTAAAATCCAAACTTTCACGATCTGCTCCATCTACCTTTCTTGGCAGAGATCTTTATTATTTTCCTGTATACTTCTCCTCAGCTCAGGCAACACGCACTACTGCTATACCAAGCATGTTTAGGCACCCATTTACCAGGACGCAGACTCCGAGAGACTCAGCTTGTGTCGCCACCTCCTTGGTGTATTTTCATCCCCGCCCCCCGTTCTCTGTACTTGCACAGCAGCACCCTCCTCATCATGTTGCCTTACACAGCTGTCTAATTCACTTAGCTTTAAACTGCTAGGAAGCAGGTATTTCAACAGTACAAAAACATGTTATCACCAACACACAATCATGTCTTCTGAATAAATCAAATGAGCAAAGCTAGAAGGCACATGAAAAATACTCTAGTCAAATCCCCTTAGGTTCCAGATGTGGCTGAAAGAGGCTGGCCCAAAGTCACATGGCTAGTTCCTTTATTCTTGGCTCTATCCCTGACATAAGCTAGACAAAGTCACAGAGTTACTTTGTTTGGAGAGGCACTGACAACAGAACTTGCAGCAATGACCAAAAAGCCATCAGCCATACGTGGTGTTTGAGCACTTGAAATGTGGTTAGTATAATTCAAAAACTGAGTTTTAAATTTCATGAATTTTAATTTAAATGGTCAAATGTGGCCAGTGGCTACCATATTAGACAGCACAGCTCTGGACAATCTACACGAGACATCTGTAAGTACTGATACCACTAACTTGAGAATAAATATCATGATAGGTAAAAATGGTACAAATTGGCCACTAGACTGTCTCAAAACCCTTAACAAAGTGTAGTATAGAAATTGTGGCTTCACAGCCCATATACCAATACCTATAGGCTCAAATATTTTCCATTACCTTTTTACAGTTTTGGTTAAAATGTGCACTTATGTGAGAATTTTGAGGATGTTTATTAGTATATACTTGTGTTATCCTGATCTATTGCTATCCTTTCCTTTTTCTTTCACTGGACACTTTTCAATTTCTATTTGTCCTGATCTTATTTAAGGGTATGTGGAAAAATGTGAGTGGAGAAGAGGGCATAAAGAAGCAGATAAAACAAATCTGCTGATGAAAAATGGATGGCAAGGAACCAGAAAATGTCTGAAATGAATACATGGACCAGAAAGAAAAAAGGCAAAAACTTATGGAATCAGTAAAATGGAAGGTTTATTTGCAAATAGGGACTAGTTAATAACCTATGACTAATGTGAGTAAACTCTATTTTAGGAAATATTGTAAAGACGTTGTCTAAGAAAGAGTAAAAATTCTCAAAGAAGAATCAATATCACAGAAAAAGGATAATAAACTATTAAGAACCTAATAAAATCTAAGCACCTTTTAAACCATTACTTCATTTCTCCCCAAGTTTTCTCCTCTACCAATGAAGAAATTAAAATGTAAATAACTTGTCTAAAGTCACAAACCTGGCACATACCTGGCCAGCATTCCAATTTAGTTCTTTTTTACTTTGCATGTGAAAATACAACAGAGATCATGCTAATGGACTCACTGGATTTCTGGCTGAATTCTGCTACATGGTCAACTTGTTTTAAACTCGAAAACAAAAACATTAACAATGCTATCTGAATAACACATTTAAGAGGCTATTAAAAACAGCTATTCATTTCAGCTTTACTCTATAACTTTTGAGATAAGCATAATAATTTAAGCCTCCATTCCTGAACACTATAGTAAGTCACTAAAATAATTTTCTTTAGTTTTTCCACTCCAAATATTCTGCACAAGGCTATCTGAAGATTATGATGATCACATCAAAGCCACTGTTCCCATATTCTAAAAGATAAATCCCATACCTCCTACTGTGAAACTCAGAACGTTTTATGATATGGCTCCAAGACACCATTTTAATCATTACTCTACCACCCGCCATTCAAAATCTCTGTTAGCCGCCAAACAGGCCTGCTCCACGCCCCTTACACGTGGCCTGTCCCTCCCCACCTCCCAACCTACGCTCCTACTTGTCACTGCACCTAGAACGCTTTTACCCACTCTCACCACCTACTCAAAGACTTTATTCCTTCCAGAACATATTAAAATCTCTCTTTTGTAAGACTTCCCCAGGCTCTTGTAGCTCAATGATGTCTCCCTCCTGTGGACTACAGTACTGATAGGGTAAGTAAATACACGACAATTAATGGTTGTCATAAACTGACTTGTGAATACTGTATCCTCAACCACCATTTCCCTCTTTATTATTTGACATGTGTTTTGTTTCTTCAACTACGAAAATTCCTTAAGACTTGTGGGACTTGTCTTACCCATCTTTAAATTCCTTAAGCTTTAGCACTCTTTTTGAGGTGGTCAAGATAACTCCAGTCTCAGTTTTTGAAAGAAATACAACACCTTCTCATGCACTCTAGATAGTTCTAAGGCCTAGAACTTAAATGTACAAAAACATTGCTTGCTTCTAAATTCTAACATAAAAGCTAAACCATGTAAAAGTTACAACTACTGCACGTTACAATACTCTTAACAACACAGATATGAACTAATCACCAGCTTACCGACAATACGGATTTCTTCGAGAGGAATATCGGAGAGTAAGAAATCTATAGTATATAAAAGGCTGGAGCAAACTTCCTTGACCACTAAAATAAACAAATACAAAAGTAATAAATATACATTATCAATTCATATACAAACTCTCAAAACTTAAAGGTAATTTAACTGGAGAATATGTCTTTATTCATCAAATGGTCATCATAGATTACTATAATAGATTACTATTACCTATCATTATCTAAATCCAAGTTACTGTCAAAAAGGAAATAGAAAAATGTATATATGATCAGTAAAGAGTAAAATGTTACTATTTAAATTTGTATGAACATGTATTCATGCATATATTTTAAAAATTTTAATAGCTACTAAATAAATCAGATATATAAATGTTATATATGCTTCCGTATAGGAGACCATTCTGTGTGGCGTGGGCTCAGCTCCCACTTGGAGATGCACAGGACTCATGCTCACGGATAGGTTCTCCCATTGGGAATCAGGCCTGCAATGTACCTAGGCCACTTTGAGACTTGCTTTTGCTAAAACTCCCTTGCCCTGAATTGAGGCACAAGCACTTACTGTAACTTTCCTAAAGTCTGTGCTAAACCTCCCCAGTATGGAGTATAACCAGTTCAACCACTTTTCCCTTTGCATTTGCAAATATCCTTCTTTTGTGATGTGATTAGAGGTATCCTCTCCTTTGTTGTCTGTAAAAGGTAACCACCTAAGGTGAACCTGTGCATAGTTAATGAGGACCATCACGTAATGTGTGGAGAAACCCAATAAAGGCCTATCACGGCAAGGGTCAAGGCTTTTTCTCCTCTTTAGAGAGAAGCCATGTCGTCCCTTTTCCCCAACAGGACTCGGTAGTCCGTGTGAATTTCTCATGCCGCATCCACGATGTGGCGAACCCCACAAGCCAGGGTCCGCATCACTTCCATAATTCCTAACAATTGATAATCGGGTTTTAAAACTTTGTAACATATTAAAATAAAAAACCATTCATTTATATGTAACAAAAATCACAAAGGCTCACTTATAAATTTTCATACCTTATTCTAATTATTTTTCTTAGTTAAAAAGTACAATAACAATACCCCAAGAGTCATATATGTTTATGAAATTTTAAGTCTGGAATTCTTTCCTAGGAAAAACTACCTGAATTAAGATGTTTACTGAAATAACTACAAATAAAATGCAGCAACAACATGGACAGTGAGGTAGCAGGGGTAAATAAATTATATTATGTTTAGTTGATGAACTTAGCATGCAAGTACTTAAAATCCTGATTATGAAAACTATACAACAACTTTGAAGAAAGCAGGAAACTGTACACACTACTATTTTTTGTGTGAGGAAGTACATTAAGATGTGAAATGTTTGTTTTTTAGGTTAATTTTTTAGCCTCTTCTTCTAAATTGTGATATTACCTTCATAATAAAAGTAATTTACACAATTACAAATTTATCAATAATTTTTCTCAATCCTGTGATGAATCTTTAACTTTTTAAAATGAAAAAATCATATACATACTATAGAAAATATAGATAGGAAAGAACATTCAATGAAGAACAAATTTCCCATCATCCAAATCAGCTCCTTCCTCAAAGTTACAGCACCATCTCCATCCCTCCAGAAATTTATACACACGAGCATAACTAATAACTAACACTGATACAGCGCTCACTTTACAATTCACTGAATCCATTTAACAACTTTGGGAAGTGGTTATTATCATTCCCATTTTAGTTTTTAAAGACTTTATTTCTCTTTAGCCCTGGCTGGTGTGGCTCAGCACCAGCCAGGGTGGGCCTGCAAACCAAAGGGTTGCCAGTTCCATTCCCAGTCAGGGCACATGCCTGGGTTGCAGGAGGGTCCCCAGTAGGGGGCACACAAGAGGCAATGACGCACTGATGTTTCTCTCCCTCTGTCCTTCCCATCCTCTCTCTCTAAAGAAAAATAAAATCTTAGATTTTATTTCTTTTTAGAGAGAGGGGAAGGGAGAGAGAAAGAGGGAGAGAAAGACCAATTGGTTGCCTCTCACATGCACCCAACCAGGAAATGATCCCGCCACCCAGGTAGGTGCCCTGGCCGGGCATTGAACCAGTGACCTTTTGGTCTATGGGATAATATCCAACCCATGGAACTACACCAGTCAGGGCTCATTCCCATCTAAATTTAAAGAAACTAAGGCAGATAGAAACATATATATATGCCTTGAAACACATAAATACTCTCCAAAACATAAATGCAGAACACCCCAGAGTTGTTAATAAACTTTTAAACTTATTCTATCTTGGAGATCATCCCCTACCACAACAGACAAATTTCCCTCACTCTTTTTACAGCTTGAAGTATTCTATCTTATGCATGTACTATTATGTAACAAGCTCTCTACTGATCAATCTAAAGCTATGGTGGTCATTATTTTATGTCTTTGTGTATGTGCATGTATGTGATGTATGTGTAAGGTAAACTCATGTTTTATGTTCATTTTAAAACTCATACAGAGCTTTAAACATTACTGCTACAAATATAACTTAATAAAGCTTTTTAATATTAGGTAATGCTTCTACCATGAAGGTATCACTTAAAGAATTTAAAGTGGCCCCGGCTACTGTGGCTCAGTGGATTGAACACCAGCCTGTGAACCAAAGAGTCTCCAGTTTGATTCCCAGTCAGGGCACATGCCTGGGTTGTGGGCCACGTCCCTGGTTGGGGGCATGTAGAGGCAACAGGTTAACGGATCTCTCACTCATCAATGTGTCTCCCCTTCTCTTTCTCCCTCCCTTACCATCTCTCTAAAAATAAATAAATAAAATATTTAAAAATATGTGTAAAATGGTACTGAATTTTATAGTCAGTATTACATTCAAGTGACATACAGCTCTAATAGCTTTTCCTAGTAGGGATTAAATAAAACTTTATCACCTTACTTCAAGTTTTTAGAATAACAAAGTGCTTTCTCTATTTTCATATTTCTGGTAAGTTCTCATCACCTTTATAGTAATCTTGAAAGATTAAAATCACTTTGTACGTAAGCAGTATTTAAATAAAAGATCAAGCAGCACAACTGAGTTAATGTACCAGTACAGTCGAAACTTGGCACTCCAACAAAAGTTCACTGCAGTTCCCCAAATGAGGTTTTTGTTTAAGTGTGCATGACATCTTAGCATTTCAGTGCAATTATCTTAAGCTGATTTAAGAGAATAAATTATTTTGTGTGTTAAACAGAACTATCAGGTGTAAATATTAATTATCTTCATACAAAGAACTAGTCTTAGAATCTACATTTTAACCCCCATCCAGTTACATCAAGTAAATCACAGAACCTGGTATGACCCAAGAAACAGAAAAATAAGAAAGTAAGCGGGGGTGGGGTGGTGTGTGTGGCAGGAACCGATACTAAAAGAGTTTAAGTGTCTGATCAGAAATCACAAGAGAGAGAGATGAACTAACTTTCAGGGCAAAAGTTTTAGAGCAGAGTAACAGACAAATATAGCTGCATCAAATCTTACATTCAACATTCATAGAATATAGGAGCCAGAAGGATTTTAGGCAATTTTTTATTTCTATCAGTTTTTTTAAATGTGGAAAATCAAGGCTCAAAAGGTTAAGGGTCAAGTCAGCTAGCATCCAGGTCCCTAACACCCAATGAGAAGTCTTCCCATTGTATCATTACAGAACTTTATCAGGCTGTATTATCTAGTTGGGACCCCACACTCAAGAAATAGGTGTTGATCCTGGACTTTTCAGAGGAAAACATTACTTAAAAGAATAGAACAGATGCCTTTATGAGGAAACCTGTAAAATTCTTTATCAGTTTGAAAAGAGACTGTTAAAGAAAGCAGTAACTGTCAAGTGCATAAAAACCTCAATGAACATTAAAATATTCCATAAACAAAAATAAGTTACTAATAAGACTATGGAAATTAATCATATTACTGAAAACAGGTAGTAGGTAGTATAGACATTTTAGATGACAACCTGTCATGGTCAATTAAACACAAAATGCACCTAGCTTAGACTGCACAAAATCAATTCAGGTATCTATGTTAGAGATAATACTGACAGAAAAGTGAGTGTTTGGGAATAAATGCCCTTCCAAACAAGGGAATGTGTAATAAAATACAGCATATTAACACGATGGAACACGACACAACCACTAACTTAAAAACTCTGTACGCCAACATAAGTAAGTCACAAAAACATACTATAGGAGTAAGAAAACGCAAGACACAGACAACTGATGCATTATAACTTTGGATATAACATTGGATATAAAACAAAACCCCACAACCATAATGTGATAATATATATTTTCTAGCTATTTGCATAAGCATTTTTTAAAAGATTTTATTTATTTATTTTTAGAGCAAGAGGGAGGAAGGGAGAAAGAGAGAGAAACATGGATGTGAGAGAGAAACATTGATCGGTTGCTTCTTGTACGTGCCCTGACCCAGGACTGCACCTGCAACCCAGGCACTAGACCTCAGCTGGGGATCGAACTGGTGGCCTTTCGTTTTGCAGGATGACACCCAACCAACTGAGCCACGCCAGCCAGGGCTGTATAAACATTTTTAAAGGACACACACACGTTATCAAACTCCTTTCCTCTGGAAGGAGATGGAAATACTACTATGATTCATAGTCAAATGGTACTGTAGCTTTTATTTGTAGTGTCCTAACACTTGTGAAACAAAAAATTGAAAAAAGCAATAATTCAGGCAGAAATGCAGTTTTAAAATTTAAATGCAAGAATATTGATAAAACAGTCAATACTCTACCTTTCTAACATTCTAATTTTTAAAAGGATGGCTTTCCATATTCATGCACTACTTTTTTGCATTACTTCTACAATTAAGATACAAACAAAACATGGAGGTGGCAGTAGGCAACAATTAATACCAGACTGTAATTTTTTCAGATTTTTGTTTGGTATAAGAATCATCTTAATAATAGAAGAATGGACTAATCTAGACTTCCCAAGATTCTTTCAAAGGTGGTTAGTTATTCTGAAATTAATTTCTAAACAGTAAATGATAAATCACGAAGGCTGATACATAATACCTGTTCCTAGGTTTACTGTGTCTCAGGTTCTCCACTATAAAATGTGAAAAGATTAATGGCTTAGGTCCATCTAGCTCTACACACCAGTATCTACTTCAACAGATTTAAGCAAGATAAAATTTGAGTTAATATATTTATATTTATTGATATATATTTTTGCATCAATAAGTATACATTATGTATTTACCTATATATTTATTACATTTATAACATTCATCAGCCTCCCAAAACAAATATATTTTTATTCTTACCTAAAAAGCATAAAAACTGTAGCAGGCATCAAGAGTATCTCATTACAAGCAATGAATTTCAGAATATTCTGTTGATTAGCACTTAATTTATCCAACATAGATCTCAGCAGAGGTAAGCTATTTGAGCCTTTTGCCTAAAACATCAGAAAACAAACGTTAGAAATAATAAAGCATTTCTGATCACTCAATTATTTTCTTTGTTTAGAACAGCATATTCAACAGGACATACAACCAAAAGACAATTATTTGGAAATGATGATATAAAGTACAGAATCTATTTAAGGACATAAGTTAGTGTAGTGTATTCTCCTACTTGATCATGTTTTTTGTATTTGAAGATTTAAAAAGAAAAATAAGTTTAATACAAGTCCTTTTCATTCTTAGGGGCTTCATTTTTCTTAAGATTAGATTATTTCACATAAATGGTGGTTATTCCTCTCCGACCATAATGAAATCTGACTACCTAGTAATACAGTTAAAGTATCTGTGACTCCTTAGCTAACTAGAGATAGAAATTCCCAAGTCTAATTACTCCTGTAAAAGAACTAGAGAGATTAAAAAAGAAGGCCAATACAATGCAAATTTGGATTTTTTTTAAAAGATTTGTTTTTAGAGAGAGGGGAAGGGAGAGAGAGAGAGGGAATGAACTATTAATGTGTGGTTGCCTCTGGCACACCCCACACTGGGGACCTGGCCCACAACCCAGGCATGTGCCCTGACTGGGAATTGAACCAGCAATGCTTTGGTTCACAGGCCTGCACTCAATCTACTGAGCTACACCAGCCAGGCCAAATTTGAATATTTTAATTCAAATTTCAGTGAATATGCAGTCGAGCTAACTGGCACACTTAAGTTAGGCTTAATAAGAAACCCAGGAATAAGAAATTTTAGGAAAGTACCAGTTCTGAGCAGTAGAGTAAAAGAAATTCAGTGCACTCTATCTTATATATTAGAATTAAATATTGAGAGCACAAAAGATCTCTTGCCAACTTGTCAAACCTAAAAGATTTGATTTCTTTAAATGATAAAGATATCTATTTCACACTTTACAAATTTCTGGAGCAAAAGGGGGTTAATTTTAAATACAACTTTTTATCAATGAAATATACTATTTTGTGAAATGCAAATAAAATATTCCAAAGTTTAAAGTGTCAAATCGCTAAATAATTTAGGGAAGTTTATAAGGATTAGAGGAACTTTCTGTGACAAAAGCCAAAATTTCTTAGAGCTCAAATTCAGCTGTAATTTGGGAATTTTAAAAAACGTCATAGTTTTACTTACGTCAAGGACCTTTTTTGTGTACGTAGCAGCATGAAGCAAAGAGAATAACAAGACTGGGAAAATACTCACTGAAAAAAACAATTAAGGAAAACATCCAAAATTCATCAACTACTTTGCAAACAGGCTATGTGTTATGTCCAGATATATATGTGTTCAGATATATATATATATATATATATATATATATCTGAAATGGCATCTGCTAAAATGAGTTGTGACGATTATTTTCAGTGTTGCAAGGATTGAAAGTCAAATCCGTATATAATGGCAAAACAGGTATTCAAAAAATGTTTCCTCCTATTCTGAGAATTATCTAAAAAGGTAGTCTCTAATCTCAAAGATATATTTTATTGTGCTTCCATTATATACAGTTGTAAAATATTCAAGAACTCTTAAGAGCAGCACTTCTCAAAGAATAAAACACTTTCTTTCCTGAGGGTGATCCGCAGAAGGAAAGTAACAATGAAGACACTTAAGTTTAGGAAACACTAGAAGTCTTCCAGTCTCCCGATGTACACCAGCATATCAAAGGTCCTATAGTCAAGAAACCTATTTACCAGTTCACCTAGTGTGCTTCCCTAAGGTATTAAACAGCCACCCACTTCTTCATCCCTTCCTTTTGAGTTTTTTTTCTTTTTAGAATACCTATTATCACCCCAGGACACTTTCGAAATATGTAAACACATAAATTCCAAATGGGTGATTTCATTCTCATTAGTTCCAGAGATCATCCGTGTGTCCCTATTTTCTACTCTACTCATAGTAATAGGCAATTTTATTGTTAACAAGGTACAAAAGGATACTTGTAACAGGGTAGGAATTGACAAAGATGAGTGAATACAGCAGGTAGTGGCAGCTGTCCTCCAACAAAGCTTGGGCCAGGAATGCTCTGCTCAACTGGAAGTGTGGTAATCTTTGATGCAGCCTCAGAGCACTTGTAAGAGCATTTGCCAGCAAAGCCCGCTGGTAAAAGCTTGCTGCTTCATGCAACCTGCAAATCACCAAAGGAGAGGTTATCACGAGACATAAACAACTACCATGCCTCTTCCTCCTTTGTGAATTGCATCATAATTGCACAACACCTAAATCGATTAATTATAAACAGAAAAAAATTACTAGAATCTATTGTATATTCTTACAAGCATCACTTCATATATATACCTAACTGAATTTTATAAAGCAGTCCTTCTTTCCATTATGTTCAAAAGTCCAAAATGCAAAAAATATGAACTCATTTCCACATATCCATTTTCTCTCAGATATTCAATGTGATGTTAGTTTTCACAAAGCATGTAATACAATATATCCCTCCAATGAGTGACATTAGGTTATTAGTGCCTTGAAGACAAGACTTGTGTTTAACCCCTTGCAGTTTAGTAAGTCTTGGACCTAAAAGATATTGCATAAAAACTGACTGGAGAATCACAGGCAGAAAAAGATATAATACATACCCAAGAAGAGGCAGAACAAACAAAGCAGAGCAGTAAACTGTGAACAAGCGAGAAAGCCACATCGCTGTGTCCAGTTTATTGGTCATCATGAATTGCTGAATTTAAAAAGAAAAATATTGTAGTAAACTAAGGCTGCAAATTATGTTTATAAGAATGAAGATTATGCAGTTTATTCCTATTCAAAAGGTATTTTTAATGATTGTGTAACAATACCATTGTTTTTTTAAGATCATTAAATGAAAACTCTTAGAGCAATTATTTTACCTAAGAAGTCCCAACACCTTAGAGCCTTACACTTTTGATATGAAAAGCACTAGAAGTACTTAAATAGAAAAGTACCAAAAGACTAATTAGGAAAAAAATTTTGAACAGAAACTTAACTACAGTTGTCTGTATTCATCCTGCACTTGTAATACTGACTTCATCTATTTTAAAAGAACATTATAAGAACTACTCATTAGAGAACTATAGCCTATTCTTAGAAAAATCTCAAATTCAAATGGGTGTGTCTCAGACTTGAATAAAAAGGTATCGTACAAAGCCACTTTGGATTAAATAAACTTTACAAAGGAGAAATGTAAAACTTTACAAAGGAAAATGCCAACAGCCACTCACTACTGAACCCAGCCTACGGATGATCTGCCTATGTACACAGAGGGGCCTGACAGGTGCTCAAAACACGGCTGGCAGGAGTTAAAGGGCATCTGCCTCCCTGACTTTATGACTTTCTCATCCCCTGGAAGCACCCCCAAAAGTCTCACCCTGGCCTCAGTGGCCCTGTATTGAACTTCCACACCACTTTCTTCTCCAGTTTTTCTCATTCTCTGTCCCTTTGCTTCTTTTTGCCAATAGATGTGTCCATCACCACTAATGCAGTAACTTAAAATCTGTTCCACATTCAAAATCACCTTATATCCAAATTCTAAAGTGGCTATTATATTTGCTGATAGGATCTACATAGATAATTTTTACATCAAAGTCTAATACTAACAGCCCTGGTTGGCGTGGCTCAGTGAATTGAGCGCTGGGCTGCACACAGAAAGGGTGCCAGTTTGATTCCGAGTCAGGGCACATGTCTGGACTGAGGGCCAGGTCCCCATTTGGGGGAGGCATCTGGTTAATGTTTCTCTCAAACATCACTGTTTCTCCCTCCCTTCCCCTCTCCCTAAAAATAAATTTAAAAAATATATTTTAAAAAATTTTACACAAACGTGTATGGATATATAAACAGAAGTTTCACAAAAAATACTTACCCATACTACATGTGATGGATTTTGGCATTCTGTATCCTAGTTAATGTTTTCCTTAAAGATTTTATTTATTTATTTTTAGGTAGGCGGGGAGGGGAGGGACAAAGGAGAGGTACATCGATGAGTGAGAGACAGACATCAATCCGCTGCCTCTAGCACCTGCCCCCAACCAGGGACCAAACCTGCAACCCAGGAATCAAGCAGGCGACCTTTGGCTTTGTGGAACAACACCCAACCAACTGAACCCACTAGTCAAGGGTTTACTTAGTGTTTTAAAAATACTTATGTGGTTCCACTAAACTGATTTAAAAACTCATTAATGGGTTTTACCCTAGAGTCTAAAACACTAGTTTAAGCAATCTAATACAATTATTTTTTGGAGGAAGATGCACAGGGTAGAGCAAAAGGAGGTTTACAGTTGTGAGTACGTGAAACATTTATTCTTGTGTTACTATTTATTAATTATTGTATCATTTTCCATACAAACTGTAAACCTATTTTTGACCCACCTTATAAAAAGATTTTGGAAAAAATGCAAGTAAATTTTAAAATTCCAAGATGTTTTATTGCATGTCTTTTTAACAGCATGCAAGTTACTTCAGAAATATGTCTCTAGTTCATCCCATCCAACCATATTGCTTACTCCTCTAAATTTAAATGATCACCAGCAGTCAAGAGGAAGGATGAATCTAGCTTACTAAGCTCAGTTTCTCTACAGATACTCAGATTCTACACCACAGTTAGAAATTTAATTGAGGAACATTTTCTTTATTACTTAATTTTTTTTCTTCTGACTCCAGAGGGGAAGGGAGGGAAAATGAGGAAGAGAAACACTGATGTGAGAAAGAAACACGGATTGGTTGCCTCCTGCATGCACCCCGCCTGGGGACAGAACCCATAACCCAGGCATGTGCCCTGACCAGGTATCGAACCCAAGACCTTTCAGTCTGCAGGACAAAGCCCAACAAACTGAGCCACACCAGTCAGGGCTAGAACATTTTCTTTAAAGCTTATTTGTTTAGGGTATTCACTTTGTGATAACTCATTGAGCTATGCATTCCATTTTGTACAGTTTTATGTATGTATATTTTATTACACAACCAAAAAGATTTAAAAAGATGCACTGTTTTAAATTTCAAGAGTGAACTACTCAATCATGTTATAAACAGTTCAAGTAAAAAAAACAGTAATGGATCTTTGGGTGAAAACCTATTCATGCAGTCTCAAAGTACCATGTCATAGATTACTTTTTAATAACAAAGGCAAAAAAGGTATCTTTACAATGGAGAATCTGGTGGATACCACCTTAACCATATAATCAAATTTAGTATCTCCAAAGATGGGATAAATGAACATAAAATGCTTCCTACTATATATAATACATTGAGAAGGGCAGAATATCACTTACATAATATTCCTGCAAAAATGTGTAACCTGAATCTAGTCATCAGGAAGGGAAAAATATGATCGGACTACTCCAATTTGAGGAGTGTTCTGCAAAACAACAGGTCTGGGCTCTGGAAAGACAAAAATGGGAAGAGGAGGGCAAGGGGCCTGTTCTGGGTTAACATGAAGGCTGAAGGCCAGTAAAGGCAATGCGTGCTTTTTGATTGAGTCCTGGGAGAGGAGAAAGCAGCTTTACAGGACAACTGAGGAAATCTGAATATGGACTGAATATGAGGTTTTAACGTGTATCAACGTTAAATCTCCCAAATTTAGCCGTAAAACTGCAGTGATGACTATATTGTAGTCATGTTGAATACTTAAGTAGTTAAGGATTAACTATCATTATGTAGGCAATTAACTCTCAAAAGGTTCTGCAAAATAAAGAAAATAGAAAGTGTACATATAAATAGAGATGCTGCAAAATGTTTAAAAAGAAAAGGTGACGCTCAATTCACATACTCATAGTGTTTAAAATTAGAGGGCAATAATGCTTCGGGTACAAGTAACTAGTAAGCAGTAAATCTAGATCTTAGGGATAAGAAATTCACATAACATAGAATTTTTCTTCGTAAAAAAATGACGAAAGGAAGACAACAAAAGGCCGCTCTCCTCCTTTGCCTAGTTTTCATATAATGGCATAAAATAGGCAGAAACCTTCTCTTGCCTACAGGCGTGTGCGGAATGAGGAGTGTCACGGCACACTCTCATGTGGCACCTTTAACCTTGGGACCGAAGGGTGGAAGAGGCAAGAAGGCCCGATTTCCACTGCACACAGGTGTGGGCCACCTGCTCCAGGCCGGCCCGCCCACCGGCTTGACTTCGCTTCCGAAAACGAAAAGTTGTAGCTGACTCTACTTCTCCGATCACGATCTCCCCTCTCCCCCGACGCCCAGCTACATCCCAATCACTACTTCCAGTGCTTAGGGCAATGGGCTTTTGGAGCGCCTCAGACCCCACTTGCAACACTTCCTGCACCTTCCAACCTCTTGCAGATCAAGCCAGACCACCCTGCCCTCTAACTCACCACTGCGCCCGCCCCTTGGGGGCCGTTCGAGGGGGTATCCGCCATAGGGGACACACACGTGTCTGGGACGCTGCAATTGGGAAAAGAAATAAAATGTCAGCCCAGGAGCCACGGGTCCGGTAACCGGCTTCCCAGCCCGGTGCCACACGGCCGGAGCGTCCTGCGGGAGCTCCACCCTCCAGAGGAAAGGTCTCCCCAGCACCAGTGCAGCAGACTCACCCGCGGACACCTGCAGTGGCTGGGCAGTACCAGTACGGTACCGCCAAGTACAAAGCTGGGTTTCTAGAAAGACCGGAGCGAAGGCGGAGCTTCGAAACCAGGACCAACAGGGCCGCTCTAAAGCCGGCGCCGGGTTACTGCCGGAACAGGAAGTGCTCCTTTCACTTCCGTGGGAAAGGGGCGGTGAAAGGGGCGGTGATGAAGAGGGGGGGAACCTGGAGCGGTGCCCCGGGGCACAACGGGAAATGTAGTTCTTGTGTCAGGTTCAAGCTGAACAGCGAGGCCGTTGAAGCCACTTTACTCTCACCTCCAACTTACAGACGGTCCCTCCTGCTACGTCCAAACCACGAGCTTTATTTGCTCCTTAACACAGAAGGCTCAGCAATGTCTTCTTTGCTGTTTTCCTCCAGGGGCTCATTAAGCCTTATGGTTCTACTTCTAAAATTAATTCTTCCATAAGGACTTAAGGAGGCCTGCTATGTGACAAAAGCCAGGCTTGGCACGGAGGATAAAAAGATGAATATGAGACAGACTGCAGGAGGAACAGACAAGTAAACCGAAATCATAGCACGGTGCTTATGTAACATCAGCAGAGGCCGAGCTAATTACAGGGAGCTCATAGTAGGGGAACTAAATCAGAAAGGGTCTGAGAAGTTTACTTGGAAAAGGTACGTCTGGCCCTAAGTTTTGAGGGGCAAGCAGAAGTTGGCCCAGTGGAGGAGGGGATTCCAGATAGCAACAGAAAGTGCGTGAAACAACAGGACAGAGTCAGGCTATTAGTTCAGTATGGCCAGAATGAAGGTGTCAATGAGGGAGACTGAAAAATGTGGACGAGAGAATCAGGCAGGTGTGCTAAAGAGACTATCTGAACTTAACCAGGCAATCCAGGTAACCAGAATACAATTTTAAATGGAAATGTGACATTGTGAGATTTAGATCATTCTAGTAACCGGCACATGCTTAAAAGGGCAAACTCAAAGCCAGGAGACAGACTAACTGGAAGGCATTGCGTATGTGTAGAAGTGATGAAATCCTAAACACAGGCAATGTTCTGGGGGAAGAGAAGAGGAAACAGGACTTGAGGCCATCCTAGACTTAGTGACTCACTAGGTGTGGGTGTGCCAGAGAGGGAAGGTTGTGGTCTGACACCTAGAGAGGAGCTATGGGGAGGGGTTAGAAGAACAGGATTGAGAAAAAAATCTGAGAGGGTGGGTGAGAGAAAGGTGACTAGAAATACACAGGAAAGTTGATACCCCACTTGAAAAACATGGACCTGTATAATATTCTGACTCTCCGAGATGTATAGTTTTCTGCCAGTATCCATGAACTCCCCAGCTGCCAGTCAGCTGTAGCTGACCAGTCATATGGTGCCCTCTTGAAGCCATGTAAACTACTGTTTGTAAGCCTACTGCCCAGTCTCTAGCCTGGATGACCTATCCGCCTAGCTGAGGTAAAATACTACCTCCTCTGCACTTCTCATGATTATTATTGCATATTTTTACAGCGCTTGTCACACTCTGACATTTCTTGTCATTATTTGTATTACCAGGAGTGTGTGTGTCTTTGTCTATGGTTGGCCGGCCATAACACAATACCACAGGCCAGGTGTCTTAAACATCAAAGATTTCTCACAGTTCTGGAGCCTGGGAAGTCCAAGACCAAAATGCAAGCAGGTAAGTCTCATTATGAAGCCTCTTTTCTTGACCTAGGTGGCTACTTTTTCACTGTATATATATGGCCTTTCCCAGGTGGGTGCATGTGTGAGGAAAGGGGTGGGGGTGGGAGGGAAGAGAAAGGGCTTTCTTCCTTTTATAATAAGGCCACTCAGTCTTATCAGACTAGGGCCCCGATGACCTCGTAGTCCCTTAATTACTACTGAAAGACTTTATCACCAAACATAGTCACATAATAGGATAGGGCTTCAACACACCACTTTTAGAGGGACACAATTCAAACCATACTGAAATATATATATATTATGATTTAAGGAACTTTTTTTTTAGATTTGATTTCTTTATTTTTAGGCAGAGGGGAAAGGAGAGAGATGCAGGGAGAGAAACATCAATGTTGGTTGCCTCTCATGTGTCCCCTACTGTGGACCTGGCCCCAGGCATGTGCCCTGACTGGGAATCAAACCAGCAACCTTTTGGTTTGCAGACCAGCACTCAATCCATTGAGCTACAGCAGCCAGGGCAGGAATATTCTTATTATAAAAATATTGCAATATAAAATATCCTTTACTGTAAATTACACACAGATAATTGATTCTCACACAATACTTTTGATTTTCGCTGAAATATTTTATCTGTAGCAACATGTGGTTGCCTTTGAGGAATCAGTGTAATTTCATGAATATTGCTTGCTATTTTCATCAAGGAATTAAATGAAAGTGAAACACTTAAGACGTATATTCAATGTTCAGCCCTGACCAGTGTGGCTCAGTTGGTTGGGCGTTGTCCTGCAAAGCAAAATGTCACCAGTTTGATTCTAGGTAAGGGCCTGGGTTGAGGGACCCCAGTCAGAGCCCACGTGAGAGAAAACAACTGATGTTTCTCTTTCACACCAATGTCTCTCCCTTTCTTTCTCCTTCTCTCCCCCCTCTAAAAATAAATAAAGAAAAGAAAAGAAAGAAAGTTCAGTCTTCCAACATTATGTGATCAACTTCTTTGTTGGACTGAATACTCATTCTTGAATACTGGATGAATATTTACTCAATTTTAAAATGCTACTCACAATTTAACAGCTACAAATATAATGCACTTTTAAGTTCAATCTGTACTATTAACACTGTCTCTATCACTTTTAAGCCTAACAATCAACAAAACAATAAATCAAGCTCTGGTTTGTTGTGTTTGCTGATATTTCCAGGCTGTAAATGCTCTTACCATAACTTATTTCAGTTTCTAGCACAATGTCACTAAACATGGCATTGGAAAGAGATGTGCATTGCATATCATTATATATATCCATTGTGCAGACACAATAGACATAAATAACATCAAGATATAAATAATGGCAAGATATAGTAAAAAATAATTAGGAAGTAATGAGTTTTTAATATAACATTGTAAATTTATACAAATTTTAATAATGGCTTCACATAACTAGCTCACAAAATTCTTTTTAAAAAATGTTTATTGATTTTAGAGACAGAGAGAGGGAGAGAAGAAGAGAGAGGGAGAGAAAGAGAGAAACATTGATTTGTTGCCTCTCATACATGCCCCAACTGGGGATAGAACCCACAAGCCAGGTAAATGCCCTGACTGGGAATTGAACCCCCAGCCTTTTGGTGTACAGGACCATGATCCAACCAAATGAGCAACATTGGCCAGGGCCCCACAGAATTCTTAAAAACTTAAGAATCAAACCAGTAGGAGTTGACTCCAGTGTATCACTATATGCCTTTGTGATATTCTCCAGCCCTACCCTTCTTTCACTATAGGTATTGGAATTGTTCTTAAGCTTAAATGCCCTCAATCCTACTGTCCAGTGACACTGTCGCCAGTGTCTTCTTTCCTCACCAAAAAACCTTCCTTATTATAAAGCCCTTGAATGTATTGCTATTCTAGGAAGGCACTTATTTAATCCTCTGTTGTATTATAATTTGTTTTATATTTTTATCAAACGTCTTAAGTTTCAAGGAGAAACTGTTTACAATGGGGAGTAAAAGAGGGTGAAGGACTTTTGGTTGACTTATAATTAAATTTTTAAGCTACTCAATTAAAAAGTGAATTTATTAAAAATGGTCAGAAAATAGTACTAACAATAGACTTTTCAGTGAATGCTAAAACCATTGGTTAAAATATTGACGGGGTACAATATTGACACAGTTCCAAGGTATCACTCTAAAGAGTTTTTTTAACTAATTACCCAGGAAAAACGAATCTTTTACAGGACTGACACGGAAGTTAAAACCTTAAGCAAGAGATCAAATTTAGCACCACAAACATAGTGGGTTATCCCGACACTGTCTCCTGAAGTGATGCAATACAATATTTACAACATCCCCTATAAAAATTCTTGGAAGAATATTTATTTCAAATCTAATCCAATGCTTCCAGACCTAACGTCCAGTTTACAGAAAATGTGAAGAGACAGAGTAATAAGTAAAACAATACCATGAGATAAAAATAAAAATGCAGGATCTTCCACAAAATAATTGGTCTGTAATCTTAAATTGTATCATTATAAAAGGTGGGAGAGCTATTTCAAAATACAAGAATGCACAAAGTCATAAAACCAAATGCATGATTTGATTGTGTAGATTCTAGATTGAGAAACAGCAATAAAAGAAATCCAGGGACAATTATAGACATTTGATTGTAGTATAGTTTTATATCCATTTACATTTCTCATAGATGGCACCATACTTCATGGATCCTCTTGCAACCTACTTTCCTCCAGTCAGCATTGGTGAGATGCAGCCACACTAATACACCTAGGTTTAGTTCATTTGTTCTAGCTCTTCTACAGTATTCTATTAATGAATTACCAAAATTAATGTCCTGTTAATGACCTTGAGTTTCTCACCTTTAAAATCAATTCTGCAATGAGCAGTTTTCATGAGAGCTCATCTAGAGTAAATATTTAGAAGTGAAATGGTCCATAGAGTATCTTCAGCTTTGCATGTTAAGATACTTGAACATCTTCTCCCCTAAGTGTTTCTTCTTGGAGTGTGAGAATATCCCTGCCCCATGCCAGCATGTGTTTTTTCTTAGTTCTCACCAATCTTATGTGCGCGACATGGTATATCATTACTGCTTTAACTTGCATTGCTCTGAGTTGCAGTGAAGTCGAGCATCTTCTCAGAATTTTATTGGCCATTCAGGTTTTTTCTTCTGTAGCCTCTTTTTCTGTTGTGTTCTTTGCCTTTTATTACTCCCCATTATTATTGGTTTGTTGGAGTTTTTTTTTTAAATTATGCTTAAATGTTGAAATTATGTTTTGATGCTAGTCTTTTGCTATGAGTTGAAAATTTTCCTTTCCTTTTTGAAGTTGTAAAAAAATACTCAGTGAGTCCAGGAGGGAAGGATGGAGGCAGAATCTGCTCCACAACCGTAGACCCCACACTGAGCTAGAAACTGCCAGGCTGCGGCTCTGGGAAGCTGCTCCGTGAAGAGAA